GGGAAAGAGCAGCTGCTAACAAACTGGTGCGTCGTACAGAGAAGAAGCTGAAGGAAGTTTTCATGCAGGTGGAGGATGAACGTCGACACGCAGACCAGTACAAGGAGCAGGTGGGTGGAGGGGGCTTGGCTTTTGAGGTCTGTTTCTCAGCAAAGGCAAATCAAACCATACTTGGAGTAAAAAGGCCTTTGTTAAGAAGCATTTCAATGAAAACATTTGAGGGAACCCCTGGCTTGATCACTAGACCAGCAGTCAGAGCACTCCTGTGGGATGGGCCATTATGTATCCTGGCATCCCAGACCCAGGAGCTCTGCTGCATTTCAAGTTTCCCCCTCTGTTCTGCCCTGGTGAGGCCACATCTGGAGAACTGTGTCCAGTTCTGGGTTCCCCCGTTCAAGAGAGACAGGGAACTGCTGGAGAGAGGCCAGCAGAGGGCAACAAAGATGATTGGAGCATCTCCCTGATGAGGAAAGGCTGAGGGAGCTGGGACTATTCAGCCTGGAGAGAAGACGTAAGAGAAACCTTATCAATGCCTGTAAATGTCTAAGGGTGGGTGCAGAGAGATTGGAGCCAGACTCTGCTCAGCAGTGCCCAGGGACAGGACGAGGGGCAACGGGCACAGGCTGGAACATGGGAAGTGATATTGAAATAGGAGGAAAAACTTCTTTACAGTGAGAGTGACAGAGCCCTGGGACAGGCTGCCCAGGGAGGGGGTGGAGTCTCCTTCTCTGGAGAAATTCTGGAGGAGTAGAGAGGTGATTGTCCCCTTTTGCTCAGCACTGGTGAGGCCACATCTGGAGTGTTGGGTCCAGTTTTGGGCACCTCAATTCAAGAGAGATCTCGAGGTGCTGGAGCAAGGACAGAGGAGGGCAAGGAAGCTGGGGAAGGGCCTAGAGAATCAATCTGATGAAGAACACTTGAAGGAGCCTATTGAGCGCAATCAATTGTGTTGCCCAAACCAGCCCTGTGGGAGCTGGAGCTGCAGCGACGTGGGGGGAAAGCAAGGTCCCCAGAGGAGCCCATCCTGGGGAACACAAGGTAATTAGTGACAGAACAAGAGGGAATGGCCTTGAGCTGCACCAGGGGAGGTTTAGACTGGACATTAGGAAAAAAAAGACAGCAAGAGTGGTTAGAGACTGGAAGAGGCTGCCCAGGGAGGTGGTGGAGTCACCACCCCTGGGTGTGTTGAAGGGTCGTTTGGATGTGGTGTTGGTGGATGTGGTTTAGGGGAGAACTTTGTAGAGCAGGGACGATGGTTGGACTGGGTGATCCCAAGGGGCTTTTCCAACCTGAATGGTTCTATGATTCTATTCCAAACCCACCTGGATGCAGCCCTGGGTAAAGTGCTCCAGGGGATCCTGCTTTAGTTGGGCTAGATGATCTCCAGCTCTCCAACTCAAGATGATCTCCCTTCCACCTCTGACAATTCTGTGAGATCACCCTGGAGTCTGTGGGGAGACTGGAGGTTCCTCTCCAGCTGGGGTGGGCAAGGAGCACCTCCCAAATGGTGGGGGGTGCTGAGTTTGATCCTGACGGCCTGGTTTTGTGTTTTAGATGGAAAAGGCAAATGCCAGGATGAAGCAGCTGAAACGCCAGCTGGAGGAGGCTGAGGAGGAGGCCACACGTGCAAACGCCTCCCGGCGCAAACTCCAGCGGGAACTGGACGATGCCACGGAGGCCAACGAGGGCCTGAGCCGGGAGGTCAGCACCCTGAAGAACAGGCTAAGGTAGGTGGTGCCAGCAGCAGGCAGGGCGTTGTCTGAGCCCTCCTGTGCCCACAGGGTGTCCCCAGAATTCGGGTTCCCTGGGGAGCTTCCAGCTGCGGCGCTGCAGGAGCAGGGCTGCTGTGCTGGGCCAAACTGGAACCTGCTGGGACCTGGTGACCGAGCCTGGTGGTGATAACAGGGATGTGTATCTTTGCATGGAGAGCTGCTCATGCTGCACCAGTGAGCAGGTGATGAGCAGGTTCCCTGTCCAGCCCTTCCAGGAGATTATAAAGAGGTGGAGCTTGGGCTGTTCAGTAAGTTAGAAGTGATAGGACAAGAGGTGATGGCCTCAAGTTGCACCGAGGGAGGTCGAGATGTTGGATGTTAGGAAGAATTTCTTCACCCAAGGGGTTGTCAGCGAGATGTGACCCATCAGCATCTCCTACCCATGTTGTTGGCAGGAGGGGAGGTCCCATCACCTTCTCCAGTCGGTCTGGGAGGCGCCAGCTGCACATCGAAGGGGCCTCCCTGGAGCTCTCGGACGATGATGCGGAGAGCAAAGGCAGCGACGTGAACGAGGCGCCGGCAGCGCCCGCCGAGTAGAGCCCTGTCCCACCCACTGCATGCAGAGACCTCTGGCACCACCGTGGGCAGGGGGAGGAGGAGGAGGAGGACTTCCCTGACCACCCAACTGCCTTGTGGCCCTAAATCTGCCTTACCAGACGTCGGCACGCTACAAGGTTACTTATCATAGGTCAACTATGTCTTAAGGCTCTCCAGCCTCACCATTACTGTACCCTGCTTCAGATATAGGTACAACTGCTTTTTTTTTATATATAGTAAACAAAATGGGATCGTCTCTGTTCAGTGCATCTCTTTTCCAGATACTCATTGTAAAGCCATTTTATAAAGCATCATGTGAAGGATGAAACTTGGGGTGTTTTTTTTTTTTTGTGTGTTTTGTTTTTACCAATACAGAAACTTCATTCCCAGAGGGGTAGGTGGTTGGGACAGCCCCCTTGTCATGACTGTGCATGCTTTGTCCTACAGACAACATCCTTCTGTTCCTTCTGTGCTCAGGTGGCCCTGGGCTGTGTTGAGTCTCTTGGATCCCTGAAGACCAAACTGCACCTGTATCTTTCTTTTCTCCTCAGTGTTGTGATCAGCACACAAATCAGCGAGTGAACTGTGAAAAGGCCTTGGGGGGGGAGTGTTAGAGGGAAATGTAGGGATGAATGAGTAGTGTCCTTTTTTTTTGGTTTTTTGTTTTTTTTGAACCTCCCAATACCATTTTGAAGTGTTCTCAGCACCTGCTCCATCAGTGAGTGTTCCTGCAGTACAGGCAAACTGAGAGAGTCACCTTCCCTCATCTGTACAGCACTTCTGCCCCTCCCACCCCCCGCAGAGCTGTGTAAATATTCAGGCTAAATACAATGTGAACACCAGTGGAAAACAAAAACACACCACGCAGGCAACATTAATTTATTCACTTAGGGCTGAGTGAGTCCTCAGGATGTGGAGCCCAGTGTCTGCACCCAGGGAGGAGGCTGCTGAGCTCCCTGAGCAGCCAGCCTGGCCCCAGCAGGGAGCTGGGCCACCAGCCCCTCTGGCCACTGGCACCACACAGGGCTCAGCGAGGGGGTTGCCTGCCTAGAGTTAACATGCCAGTGGATGTGAATCCTTTTCTTTTTTGTTGTTGTTGTTGTTGTTTTTTATTTTGAACAGTATTACAGCGAGTAGTTAGTGTTTCCTTTTGTTGAAATAGCTGAAAACCTGACACTACAGAAAGTGCCTTAGACACTACAGTACTAAGACAATGTTACATATATAATTTGCCTATATAACAATGATTTAATGTATTAATTTTGACTGTGCTTCATATCATGTACCTCTCTAGTCCAAGTGGTATTATTGATATTAGTGAAAATGAATCAGTGTTAACTAGGAAACTTCCTCTGCCACATGCTCAAGAAAGACATGGATTTCCTTTTTTTTTTTTGGTTAAAAGCTTTAACATCTGTCGCAAAGGTTTTGTTGTGTGTGTTTGGGTATTTTTAATCAAACTGGCTGTTGACCACCAGGCATCTGACTGCAAATATCTTGTTTTCTTGTATACCCATATTTCTAGACAATGATTTTTGTAAGACAATAAATTTATTCATTCTAGATGCGGCCGCCTGCTCTGGTTACTTACAGGAAGAGCTTTCTCCTGAGGCTGGCATAGACCTTAATAAACAAGAATATGACTGGAAGCTGCTTTTCCCTTCTTCCTCTTTTGTTTGCTTGGGGGTTTGTGGTTTTTCTTTCTTTTATTTTCACCTCAGTACAGCATCAATGGCCTGGTCAGGGCTGAGCCTTTGCCTTTCAACTCAAATTGCAAGCCCAGCTGGAGCACAAGGGGAGCTCTGAGCTGCTGTCCCAGCACAGCCCCAGCCCCCAGCTCGGCCTTTAACAGGTCAATTTCAGTTAAATCAGTTAAATTTAATGTTTGATGAAGCCTGTTGGGCAGAACCCCCAGTTTGCTGCCCCCCCCCCCAGACTGGGACCTGTACCCTGGGGGCTGGAAGCTCCTGGCTGGGAACTCCTGCCCAGGGCAGCTGGAGGTGGTTTAGTGGGAGTGTCTCTGCCCCTTCCAGTGGTGCCTCTTCTTCCAGCTGCTTGGCCAGGGCTCTGGGAACCCCTGAGCACCAAGGGGCTGTTCAGTGTCTCCTCCAACACGGTGCTGGGAAGAGGTCGAGGGATGTGGAAGGGCTTTTCCTGCCACGCAATCACAGAAGGCCCAGGCTGTGCAGGAACAGCTCCCTCTTACCTGGGGGTCTTTGGCAGGGAAGGGAGGGTTGGCTGCGATGAGGGGGCCCCAAGGCACCCCAGCCAACCTGCCCCTCAACCCTTCAGGGATGGGGCACCCTCAGCTCCTCTGGGCAACCCATTCCAGTGCCTCACCACCCTCACAGGAAATGGGATTTTCTTCCTGTTCTCATCTGCATCTCTCAATTTGAAACTGTTCCCCTTGTCCTGTCTTTCCCCAACTCAAATCTTGAGCCCCAGGGCTCAGTTGAGCTGCCAGGACTTCCAGTGCCTGGAGCAGCAGCTGCAGCTGAGGGAAGTGTTGGCTCAGCCCCACCTGTTCCCTCCCTGCACAACTGGAACTCTGGAGCAGGACTGCAGGGAACGAGGCACAGGAGCTGCGGGGCCAGCACGGCCAGTCCAGCCCTCCATGGCTGGGATAGTTTGGGAGAGCCTGGCCCAGTGACACCTCAAGACAGAGGGTCCTCAGGACCATGAAGGACTGGGTGGGTCAGTGTTCCCACCCCCTCCCTGGCACAATCTAGCAAAGCAGGGAGAGCCGGAAGCTGCTTCCTTCTTCCTGCTCCTTTCCATGTTGGCTTCCAACGTGCTGCTCCAGAAACCACCAGGTGCTGGGAAGTCTGGACTTCTCCCCTGGAGTGGCCCCGTGTCCCATGTCCCGGCATGTCCCGTGTCCCACATCCCTGCTGGCCCTGAGATGGGTTTTGTATATAAATACTCACCTGTTCTTCCCCCAGGTTTTACCCTTTTTCCTGTGTCACAGTAAATTTGTTTCTATTTTCAGTTTCTGAAGTTTGTCTCTTCCTCAGTCCCTTTCCATCTTCCCTTGGGAGGGTGAAGGCGGTACCAGCAATTCTGCCCTCTGCTTGTGTGGTGTTTGTGTGGGGTTTTGTTTTGGGTTTTTTTTGGGGGGGGGGGTGTCACCTTCATTACTGCAACCAGACCAATGACAAAACACACCCAGTGCCACCGGTTCTGCAAAATCCACTGATTCCACATTAAAAGAACTTTTTATTTTTGGAAGATGAGTCGCGTTTGTTTCTGGTGTGTCTTGTTTTGAACCCCCAGTTGTGTCCCCGGGGGGTTTTGGGTACAAGGTCCTACTGCAACATGCTTAGAGATTCTGAATAAATAAAGCTACAAAGCCCAAGTTATGTACAAAGATCTTAGGCAAAGATATTATGTTTACAAACCTATGTACAAGAAAACAAATGTAAACAGTCAAATGCAGCAGAGGATGCACAGGAAAGGAGGAACCAGAGGAGCCCCAACAGCAAAGGGGGGGGGGGTTCCCCACCTCCCTGCTGCTGGGACCAGTGGTTTTTCTCAGCGCTTGTAAATAAACCAGCTTGGAGCTGCAGAGCCAACTGAAGGTGATGGACCAGACTGGGAACGATGATTCCTAAACCCACAGATCAAACCCTGCCTGGGTTTGTTGGTTCATTTTAAAATAATCCACTGACTCTGAGGCACATACAGACAGAGAAACTGCACAAAGGACGTTGCTCGAAAGCCCCACAAGGTGCAGGGTCACCCAACACTTGTCACAGAGGCCTGAGGGTGACGCTGGAACATCCAGCCCTATATTACACAGCTCAGAACATGGGTGGGGGGGTGATGGGGTCTGGGGAGGAGGTTTCATGGGCATTGCAGCCAGTTGGGAGTAGTGGCTTTCTAAGCTCTCGTGGAGTTCCTGTTGTGGTGTGGAAATTGGGCTGCTGAAGGCTGGGGACAGTAGGGCAAGAAAGCTGGGACGGTGGGGCAGGGAACCTGGGTCAGGTCCCTGGGCAGGGGGAGATGCTGCAGCCCATGAACACCTTCCTGCCCCCTGCCCCAGCCCTGCCAGGGCAGGTGATGCTGCCACCCTCTGTGCCAGACCCCTGACGGTCACCCCAGTGCCCTGCCCTGCCCCCCGGAGCTGCAGGGACACATCCCCCTACCAGCCCCGGCAGGAGGGACACGCTCCAGGGATTCACTGACTGCGGGAACTCAGTCACCTACCTGGCCCCAGTTCCGGGTACCAATGTCCCAAGTGCCACTGCACAGCTCCTCCCAGGGCTCCTCTCACGGGACTGCAGCCGCACTCCTAGGGAGCAGAGGCTGGGAGAAGGGGGAGCCTGGCAGAGGAGCAGCCACCCTGCCTGTCACACCAAACCTGTTAGAGAATACAGAAGGCAAAGGGGCCGAGAGGGCTGGCGAGCAGGACTCCTGCCTGTGCAGCACAGGGCGTGGGGCCAGGACAGAGAACGTCTGCTACAGCAACGGGAGGAAGGAAATAATCTGTATTAAAAGGACACGAAGGGCCGTGAGCACGAGGGTCCCTTCCGGCATCGCGGGGCGGGTCGTGTTCCAGCGGGGCGGGATGGGGAGGAGTCGGGAGCAGTTCTGGTGCTGGGCTGAGAAAAGCATCCCCAAGTCCGAACACGACCTCCCACGGGCTCATACGCTCAGGGGGAGCATTCCAGGCGCTGAGGATGGTCGAGAGGCTCCCAGGCCGGGGGGACCTTGATCAAAGCCGTTTACTGCCCTATGGAGCAACAAGAGACAGGCCGGTAAGTGAGGAGCAGCCCCAGGAGATGGCACCGCTCAGCTCTGCCCACCACCAGCAGCTGGGAGCCGGGCCCTGCTCCTCCCTCCGGGCTGCATCCCTCACCCTGCAGCGACAAGGTCCCCTGGGGCCGGTGCTCACCCGCAGGCAGGGACACGCACCGGAGGAGCTCGGTCCCCTGCTGGGGACACTCCACCCGTGTTGTCCCCTGGTCCTGCTCTGCCAGCTCTGCCCAGTGAGAGGATGGACACAGGCACGGACCAATGCAGTACCCCCAGCTGGGGTGCTGCAGGGGCTGTGGGTGCCTCCACACCCCCAGGATCCACAGGTTCCCTCCTTCCACAGGATACTGGAAGAAGTGAAGGAGTGGAGAACCTGGCTTTCTGGTGGGCTGGGAGAGAAGCACGTGAGGCTTAAAAGCTTTTCTAGCTCTACTCTGTTATGGCTTTGATGGACCTTCTGTAATTAGACTCAACACTCAGTGTCTGCCCAGGCTCACCACCACCACAGCCTTGACAACCAGATCGAGAGGCGCCAAGGCCGGGGGGACCTTGATCAAAGCCGTTTCCTGCCCTATGGAGCAACAAGAGACAGGCCGGTAAGTGAGGAGCAGCCCCAGGAGATGGCACCGCTCAGCTCTGCCCACCACCAGCAGCTGGGAGCCGGGCCCTGCTCCTCCCTCCGGGCTGCATCCCTCACCCTGCAGCGACAAGGTCCCCTGGGGCCGGTGCTCACCCGCAGGCAGGGACACGCACCGGAGGAGCTCGGTCCCCTGCTGGGGACACTCCACCCGTGTTGTCCCCTGGTCCTGCTCTGCCAGCTCTGCCCAGTGAGAGGATGGACACAGGCACGGCAGAGCCCAGTACCCCCAGCTGGGGTGCTGCGGGTGCCTCCACACCCCCAGGATCCACAGGTTCCCTCCTTCCACAGGATACTGGAAGAAGTGAAGGAGTGGAGAACCTGGCTTTCTGGTGGGCTGGGAGAGAAGCACGTGAGGCTTAAAAGCTTTTCTAGCTCTACTCTGTTATGGCTTTGATGGACCTTCTGTAATTAGACTCAACACTCAGTGTCTGCCCAGGCTCACCACCACCACAGCCTTGACAACCAGAAGTGATTATGTCCCTGTATCAGGTCAGCACGGCCACCCCCACCCCTGTCCCCAGACCAGCACCCTGCCCGGGTGGCTGGGTTTGTAATACCAAGGGTGGGGAGAGAAGCCCCACAGCTCTGCAAGGCAGCACAGGTCCCTGCCTCCATGTCCACCTACTCCCAAGAAGAGCCTCTGCAGCACCTCACCAGCTCCTCACCAGCTTTGCCCCAACCACCTGCACCACTCAAGATGCCACTGGGATGTCTCTCAGCAGAGCTATCCCTGGGAGAGGGGACACTTCAGGGACAGCCTCTGCTGCAGCAATTAAAGGCAAGAGGAGAAGCAGAAGGGCTCTGCTGACAAGGGAGAAGCCAAGCAGGGAGCTGGTGACTCTAGGGTCCCAGGCTGTGCCGGGTGCCATCACCACCTGAGGGACAGATGTGGCAGCAGCTCAGCTGTGGGGGGCTCAGGACACAGCAGGGCTGTTCCACACTCCCCTTCCCACAGTGACCCTGCACCTCCAGGACCAGGGATGCAAAAGCCCAGGCAGCAAAGCCAGCAGAGCTGCCAGGGCACTGGGCAGGGACAGAATCCTGCCAGAGGAGCAGGTGAAGAGCTAAAAATCTCAACACGTTGCCAGGACAGATTCCCGTGGTAACATCCCTGCAGCCCAACGATGCCCCCAGCACTGCACAACAGGAGGGGACAACTCTCCCCCAGGACACCAGCACAGCCCTGCGCCACCAGCCAATCCACAGGGACATGACCCAACAGAGAGCTGTCCTAGGTCCCTGCACCAGAAGGTG